ATTTTCAGTCGCTTGCTGCGTTTAGACCAATCGCGCGCGAGCAAAAAAAAATTGATGGATCATAAACAGCGATATGTACACCTAGATAGCTCTATTCTTCCCTCTTCTGTAGTTTACATTACTATACAGCGTTATACAACAATATGTACCCGTAAGTAGCCTTGGTCGGCATAATAGAATACATACATCGAAATGTTCCAGCCTCAGGGGCCATGTTTTATGTCTCTCTCCAAGGTTCATCAAACACTCGATGAAAACCTCTGCGTCGTATAAAGAAAACACAGCATTTTCCAGTGCATTCATGACTCGTCTGACGTGAAGATACAGAGATCGAGAGTTGATTACGGCTTCAAGTTTCAAACTCTTAAAGGCGGGAAATATGTCTTGAAATCTTTCATGAACGTCGTTATCAATTCAGAATAATTGAAATTCGATTCACGTTTACTTCAGATAATAAATTTTACTCTCATTTTGCCAGTTATACAAAGAAATCAAGAGACTTAGCAATATCCACAACAACACACACACGCACGTATCTCAGTTCTAAAAATAAAGAGATACATGACAGGGTTGACTCAAGAGTACAATTGGTATGGAGGCTCCGGGTAATGGGCTCCTGCCAATACATTAATTGTATTCACCGGCGACCTCGGCGGGGAAAGCTAGGGGACGGATGTTTTTCGAAACGGATGCGATGCATGACTCGAAACTATTAATAATACTGTCCCATTACTTTCTGCTGACGTCTCGAGTGCACGCAAATCTAATAAAAGGACTGTTAAAGGGCTATGAAAGGAACTAGTCAAATTCAGACTCAAATGTTTACTCTACGTTCCAGTTCTTTTGTCAGCGACATCAGCTGACAACAGCCTTTAATGTACCTAACGAATTTTCTTAATAGCAACATTGAACATCAATGTCATTTAAGAATTTTTTGATAATTCTGAAATATATTAATGCTTAATGAAATATATCAAACCGAAAAATTTTAATAGCTTTTAAATCTAAAATTGTCGAAAGCTGCGACATTCGGATATGAATTACAAATTCTTTGAGGTCATAATTTAGGTCGGCAAGTAATTTTTCTTTTGGGTAGAGGTTTAACCTCTGCCTCAAAGAGAAATTACTTATCATCTGCCGACCTGAATTCTCACCACTCAATAAACGTAATGAACTCGTGTCCTCCTGCCGCCACAAAAACAAAGCGTTACTGCGTGACAATTGAACAAATAATTTTAACTTATCACCACACCTATAATGCAAATTTGTAAAGTATATAAGCGATGGTTTATACATAAGTTAAGGAATTAAAGAGGACACATCGATTCTCTGTGACTCTGGGTTGCGCGCCTAGGTGCTCGTCAGACAGAACTTTTCAATTTGAGCGAATCATTTTGGTGATGTGAAGGGAAAATCTTGTTACTGATGATTCAGCAGTTTTATAATTATTTCGTTTTTTTGCTATTTTCTTTTGACTTTATAAAAATCTACTAAATAACCTTGGCACCTAGTGACGTTTTCCTCACTTTTCCCCTAAAACAGAAAAATACAAACGAGACAGGAAATTACTGCTGAAATTCCAGTTCTTAACGGCGGGTTATTTCTAATACTCTATTAGTGTGAGACGGGGCCGCCAGTGATAAATTCCGCTAACTTGCGAAAATTTAGCTGATTGATAATGACATAGTCTCCCCGTAGGTTTAGCAGTCTACAGTCTTCAGCTTATTTCAAAGCAGTTCCGAATGTTTAAGGTTTCGGAAGCAAAAAGATACCTTAAATTCGACTGTTCTGTAGAGGAAATTTCATTCTTAATTTACGTATTAGGTGTAAGGTTAGTTCTGAGGGATAAAAAATGATTTGGTCAATTAGAGTGTATAAGGGGAGGGGAGTCAGATCAGACACAAATTACAAAGGAATTGGGTCTTATTCATGTTTTTGATCGCCTCTCTATTTTACGAGGGGAAGCAAATCGATTTGAGATTTTAAATCTGATCGACTCCTAGCTGGGATGTTTTCTGAAGCCCCCCCCCCCCTCCCCTCCCTCCTCTATGGTGAAAAGAGTAATGCTGAAGAGAGAGTCAATTTTGTCGCCATGTCACAGTTTTAAAATTGAGCTGAGGACAACGTAATTAAGTGAACTCAAGTTTAGGAACACCTTGTTAATTGCTGGCTGATAGAAATTGTTTACTTTTCATTTAC